CATTTTTTGAAGAACTTCCTCCGACACCGTACTTTCCAGGTATGCATCGGAAACCATAGATCAAGAGGATTACCAGAAGAGACTGGCGTTCCACAAGGTTCGGTGATCGCAGTTACGCTGTTTCTAATACGGATGAACGGAGTGTTCCACAGCTTACCCAAAGAAATATACATCTTCGTGTATGCAGACGATATCGTCTTGGTGGCGGTCGGATCCACAGTGAAGGCCCTTCGCAGAAAACTCAACGCGGCCACGAATGCAGTTCTACGCTGGACTAAATCCGTCGGATTCCACCTATCGGTGGAGAAATGCGCATATACCCACATTTGTCCGTTCAATCACCAGGTGCTCCGCTCTCCTATCAGCGTCGACGGAAGGATCATGCCGTTTAAGAAGTCTATCCGCGTCCTCGGCATACGCCTGGATCGGCATTTAAACTTTGGAGACCATTTCAACGAAGTGAAAGGGAATTGCCAAACAAGAATCGGCTTGCTGCGGACATTAGCCAGGAGGCATCTAGCGAACAACCGTGCTGTCCGGATGCGCGTGGCTAAAGCGGTAGTCGATTCAAGATTAACATACGGTATAGAACTGACCTGCCTAGCTGCCGACAGGATGATTTCCCAACTGTCCCCGGTATATTATCAGGCCATTCGAATCACATCAGGTCTCCTCCCCTCCACCCCCAGGCTTGCAGCTTGTGTGGAGAGTGGAAGGTTACCCTTCGACAAATTTATCGTTGCTACCGTTTGCAAGAGGGCAGTTGGCTTCGCAGAGAAGACAACTGGAACAAGTGATGGAGTGTCCCTCCTTATGGAGGCGAACAAACTCCTGAAGGACGTCGCCGACCTGGAACTCCCCCCGGTAGCCAGGATCCACTGGTGTGGAGCCAGGGGTTGGAACTCACCCGGACTTTCTATCGACTTGGCGATAAAGAACAGATTCCGGGCGGGAACCAACTCCCCCGCACTAGTGAGATCGGTGGCCGAACTACAACGAACCAAGTACCCAAATCACCTAGCAAGATACACTGACGGATCTCGAACAGGCGGAAGGGTAGGCATTGGGATATCCGATCCGGAGCTATGCACCTTCTACCGACTTCCGGACCCTTGCAGCGTTTTCTCTGCTGAAGCTGCCGCCATACTAGTAGCCGCCACCTCGCCTACCAACAAACCTGTCGCCATATTCTCTGATTCAGCCAGCGTACTAACAGCTCTTCAGTCCGATACAGCCAAGCACCCTTGGATCCAGGCTATCCAGAAGCTCGCTCACAAAGGAACAACTTTCATCTGGATCCCAGGACACTGCGGGATCAGAGGAAATGAGGAAGCGGATCATCTGGCGGCATCCGGAAGACAGGCAAACCTCTATACCCAAAAGGTCCCTGCTCAAGACATCAAGCGGTGGATCGTGACTACAGTATGGAATTGCTGGACAAATCAATGGCTGCGATCTCAAGATCTGTTTATCCGGAAAATTAAAGGGGATACCAGAAGATGGGATGATCCGCCTGAACACCGATCTCAAGTAATTTTATCGCGGCTGAGAACCGGTCATACCAAAGCCTCTCATAACATGGGAGGCGGAGGTCCTTTTAGGAAGCAATGCGAGACTTGCAATGTACCACATACAGTGAAACATTTCCTATGCAACTGCCCCCAGTACTATGGACCACGCACCCAATACGGGATCTCAGCAAGCGTCAGGGACACCCTGAGACATGACCCCTCTAGCACCACAGCGCTCTTCTCATTTCTGCGGGAGACAGGATTGATCAACCAAATTTGATATATGACCCAATATGGACCCAAGCAACGACAACGGACAAAGGATTGAACTACTATTGGCAAAAACCACTGACTCAAAACGGACGAGCGACTATATTAAGATGATGCACGAATAAGGACACGAAAATGGACGGATGATGGCACAAAGTTACGCACAGCGACAACAATGGAACTGAACACGGAAAACTACTACACATAAAAGCAAAATCACCACAATAATCGGACACAAGACCACGCGACGACAATGGATTATGACAAGGACCAACTACTAGACACACCGCAAGTTACCTGAATATCTGCCAACAAAATTAACTCCGTTATTATAACTCTGTCCAACACAATTGTACCCTTTACAGTCAGGGGGGCCTCTCTCCGAAGCCCTCTATCCCTTTTAAGTGACGAACCAGCCAGTGGCTAAAAGTCACTCTAATAAAGAAAAAAAAAAAAAAAAAAAAAAAAAATCAAAAAGTATACAAAAAAGGAACAATTATAAAAAAAAACCTAATAATAATAATAATAATAATAATATGGTCTTCAGTATAAAAATTAATCTCGTCCTACGGCATGGAGTTGTCCTTGGATCAGTCAAGTCGAGGCCGTCATCACAGAGTTGATCGGGAGCAAAAAAAGGAAACAGGTAGCACATTTGATCTGATGTACATTAAATAGAAAGTTTGCGGCGCCGGTGGTGTAGTGGTAAGCGTGATTGCCTCTCATCCCAAAAGGCCTGGGTTCAATGCCAGTCGGTGCCGCCGGAATTTTCCGAGGAATAACATTTTTCGAATAACGCCGTATCTGGAAACTCCTCGATCGTAGAACTCGTTCAGTTGCATAGATTTAGAAATCAGCCAAAATCCCCGGAGAATCGATTTCGCTTATCAGTAGTTTGCTACAAAAACTGTCTGGTTAATCGTCCGTAGGGTGGAAGGTTCGTTGGATCATTCCTCCATGGAAGGTGGCGAAAAGCGTAACGAACGAATTTCCTCTTAACATACTCGATCCCAAACTGCTGCCTTGAGGAACGCCTGGATTATTTGAAAAATATTCCGATTGATCAGAGTCGATTTTCACACTCGATTGGTAACATACGATTTAAACCAACGAGTGAGTCCTTGAGAGACAGCGAGCTTCGAGTTTGGCAAGTAAAATGGCATGATCAACCCGGTCAAAAACAGTCTTGAGATCCGTGTATACGATGTCCACCAGTGCTCCGCCACCATATTCCATAGGCACAGTGAAATGAAAGGAGCGAGGTTTGTTAATACTGAACGTTTGAGGTGGAAACCATGATGTTGATCAGGAGAAATGTAGTGTCTACAGCAGGCAAATAAAGCGTCGTTGATGATTATGAGCAGACACAAAGTGAGGTAATTCCTCGGTAATTCTCCACATTTCGCTTGTCTCCTTTCTTGAAAATCGGGAACGTGAACGAAGATTTCCAAAGAGAAGGAAATACACATTGTTGTATTGAACAGCATTGAAAGCGGAGAGGAAAGCTGTGTTGAGCATATTTTGAGTATGCTGGATGGAATGCCTTTAGGCCTCAAAGCTGAACGCGTTTCTGGGAGTATCTCTGATCCTTCAGCAACTTGGCTTAACGATGCCGTTGAGTTGTTCAAAACTTAAATTTATATTTATATATTCGCCTTATATCAGCATTATAGGGGAAATGGATGTAATGTCGGCCTAAATGCTCCTAATTTGGGCCCATACATAAATTCAGCAGTCGACTAAATTTTCAATAGCTACCAAAAATATCCATTAGTACCGTCCCAATGACGCGTTCATCTAGATAAAATTGAAAAATACCAGATTTTTAAAGATGGGCCCAATCTTAAATCCATAGGCCAACAATAGAGCCATTTCCCCTATTGCATTTTTGCATTAGTGGACTGGATAATTACTTGGGAAGTGACGTTTCTAATAAAAAAAAAAACTTCCCTATGATGTAAAATGGTCCAAATTCATTTTTTTATGTACTGGATATGAAAATTGGCCATAGTGACGTATACGTCACTTTGCTGTCACGTGACAGTGTGAAAGTGGTTAAAAGAACACTACGTTGAGAGCCGGCGTGAAGTTCCAGTGGGCATTTAAGGTGATTCCTTGTAGAGTCCACAAATGGCCACCACGTAGGCTATACATGCACGGGAAAAAAAGAGTTCCCATATTCGTGAACCACAGCCGTGAACCATAGTTCACGGTGTATATTTGAGAAAATTTTGTTCTGGATAGCTGGCCGTGATTTTTAGTTCACGGTCCGTTCCCGTTTTCGGGAACGGATTTTTTTCCGAGTGCACTTCCACTTCGAATTTCAATTACACACATCTCAGAAATTAATGGCAAATTTCACCTTAAATGCTACTTCATGTATGCTACAACAACAATTTTTTTTTTCCTTTGGTTTGTTTTTTCCGTCGATCTTGTTTTCCGTGCTGAGCACCAATGGTACCGACGTGCCAGGAAGGCAGCTCCCACACCTGGACCCTACCTATCGACCCATCAACTCATGAACCGGGGACCAACGGCTTTACTTCCCATCCGAAGGAAGGCGTGATCAGAGATGTTATGCCTCAGAACATCCCGGCGGCGCCGACTGGGATTGAAACCAGGCCTGCTGGGGTGAGAGGTAATCACGCTTACCACTACACCACCGGCGCCGTTACAACAACAAATGTGGAGTGACAATTTCATTGTGGTACGTATCGTGTGCTCATGTTTCGAAGTGGTTACGAGAATAAGGGTATCACAGCGAAACACATTAATAAATCCAAAGTAGAAAACCTGTAGGGAGCAAAATAGATCAATTGAACCACCTTAATACATTATACATAGTGCCATAGTTATCAAACATTTAATATTAAATTTTAATCATCTAGCAGCCAATATATCATCAATTTTTATTCACACTCGGCAGTCAGCTGAGATCGATGTTACTTATGGGGCGAGTAGTGCAGTTATGGCCTGCTTTAAAAAAATGAGGTAGTATACACATTGAATGTTGATAGAACTGTTTGTAGAGTGTGCAATGTTGACAGGATAATTTTTCAAGTAGTCACAAAAGATTTATCATTGTTGTCTTTTTGCATCTAAAACATGTGTTCCGTTGCACGAGATTCCACTTGAACCATTTTCTACATTTTATCCACCTATATAAAGACGCCAACTGCGGTCCACTCCTGCGTTGTAAACTAGAAGTTTGTGATTTTGAGTACCAAATAATAGAAACAATGGAAACCGCTGCGCCCAAAGTGTTGAAAATTAATGTTTTGGAATTTCTGAATTCCTCGTTGGTTTTGGATGGATTACAAGGAACGGTTGATGTTGCCGATGCATCGGGAGGATCTTCTCGAGGTTCTGTACTCGTCATGAAGTACAATCACCATTTGTTGACGTTCCGGTATGATGAAGTGGAAAGGAATTTCGACATTTTGAAAGTGGATTACAACATATTTGAAACGGAAATGATACCTGGACCATGGTATTTGCCAAAAGCTGAATTGGTTGCCGTGAGGAATGTGAGGAGTTTTCAAACCTACCGTTTAGTTGACGACAAGTGGATGGAATATGTGAACTATATTAACGAACGAGACTGTGAAGAAATGTTACTGGGAAAATTTTACGAGAAGAACGCGCTGTTGGAGGCTTTGGTTAAAGATGGAAGCGGATGGAAGTTCATATCGTACAAAGATTCGGGTTGGACCGTTAAGCGTATTCAGTTTCCTTCCGAGTGGATGCTACCGGGAAGTGACGTTCAAGTGCTTACAAATTTTGACGCTGGTAACGACGTGTTTATGCTCAGGACTGCGAATGTGCTTCGTATTTATAACATTAACGCATCGCAAAAATTCGAGTGCATCGTGAAGTATGATTTTGTGAAGCCTCCGGAAGATTCCAAATTTGAGCGGATTGCATTTGCAAATTTTTCCAACGCTAAGTATAAGGATATGCTACATTTTAGCTCTGTTGGATTGAACGTGTACCGTTTTCGAAATGACATAAAATCGTACAAGTCATTGTATTATAGCTCAAAGTTTTCGGAGTTTCGTAACTGGAATGCGGATTACGTGAACTCTATAATTGTTCACGATATGGATGGTGATGGGGCTGAGGAGTTGCTGTTTACAGGTCCATCTGGATTGCAAGTATTCAAGAAGGCAGAAGATGACAACGAGTTTTATCTGAATGATGTAGTGCTGAAGAGCGCTGACAATGTTCAGCGTTTCATGGCATTGAAGACTATCATGCCGAAAAAGGAGAATGACATGCTGAGCGTTATATTATATGATGAAAGTAAACTTTTGTTGGTGAATGTTCGTAATGACACCGATACGATGGTTCTATTTCCGGAAGAAGTACCCAAGAAAAAAGCTCAGCCAAAGCTTTCGCTGATAACTCCTGCCGCTAACTATACAAGGTGGTTACACGAGCAGCTGGATCTTTCGGAGTTACTTCAACCGGTGAATTCACTGACGGGCAAGGTAGAGCTTTCCATACCACTGGTGCAATTAGACAATCCTTTTGGAATCAGCGTACATAAAGCCTTTCAATATCGGGACATACAGGGAGATCGATTCCTTGCTCGTGGATGGTGTTTTCCATTAGACTACATAACCGTCGACCGGCGGGGAAGTATTTTGGAGGAAAATTTTCGATATTCAATCATGAAGCAGAGCAATCAAATGGCGTTGATTCCACACTTTGAACTGTCCACGAATGAAGTGATTTACTTCGAAGTTCAGAATCAGCTAGTGTTAAGGTACTTCAAGCAATTTGAGAGATGGGAAATGGAGAACAAGAGAGAAGCAATGCGGTACATCTTTGGAAAGTACAATTCTTCGGAGGCGTTGCAGTACATGGAGCATGATAAGGTCAAGGAGTTTCCCATTGCTTGGTACTTGATACGTGAAGAGGACTCATCGAACAGCTTCGTGCAGTATGCATACACGATTGAAGACGATAATGTGCATCTTGCAAATATTATCACGGATCTGGGAGCTTCTGTGAGGTTCCATTACGATAAAGGACAAATGCGCAACTTCACGGTTCAAACACGTTCGTATAAGCAGGTCGTAGATCTAGCGTATGCAACAAAAGAAGAATCTAAAACCTATTTAACGGAAATCAAACAGGATGATCATACGGTTTTCGAGTTTCAATATGATTACAAATCTGAGAGAGTGGTGACAATTGTCTACCCTAATGGACTGAAATCAGCTCTGGGATATAAATCAGTGGAAATAAATCGCAAGGATTGCAAAGAATTGAACTTAATTGACAAGGATTTCAGCGTGCACTATGGCCCAGATTACAGCGTCATCGTACAAACAGGACCCGACAAAAGCTATGCTCTACTAGAAGTGCGTGATTTACTGGGAGGACTTTTTACTACAAAAACATTCAATGATACATTATCTACGGAGGATCCATTAATTAGTTACCAAGTTGTGACACTTGAAAATCTATTTGGAATCGTTGTGTCACTTAATACTAAAAAAATTGCCAACCTTTATCAGTTTAAAAACCAGGAATGGGACCACACCGAGTACAATTTATCTCTGGATGCAATCGTCACGGCCAATACGAACTCGTTGTTTATTATGGATGATGAAGTGCTGAAGACTGTTGAGGTGATTGATAATGGCGCCCTAGTTGTACAAAAACAGAATGTACCGAAAAACGTTGTCGTTCATACAACTTATCGTGGTATTCTTCTGTATGACGACAAGGAATTTATTTTGCGTTATTCCGTTAAAAATGAGCATTTTCAATGGAGGTACGAAATACCTGGACTAATACAGTTGATGCACGACACTGTGGATCGATTCCAGCTGGATGAAGAGACGAGAACGAATCTTTTAAGAGTATTGAAACTTGATATGCTCCAATTCTACAACAGTTGTATAATATTGCGAACTTTGGAGGTGGATAAATCGGGGAACTTCATTATACGCTTAAAAATTAATCGATTGGATAAGAATCATCAGCTTGTTCAAGATGACAATTGGAGGGTTTACCTTGGTCCTGTTAAAAATATGAGTCTGGAGGCAAAGTCTGCTGCCGGGGATACATGCGTTATTCGTTATGTACTCAGAGGGAACAAATATGCTACAGAAATTAAGACATGTGAAGGTCCTACTATCACTGAAATAGAAAGCGACTTCCAAAAAGAAATAGCATATATTCAATCTGGTCGAAATGTGGATAGAATCATCGAAACAGCAAAATCAATAGTTAAATACAGTAACCGCCGGGGTGCGTTTGAGAAGAAGATGCTTAAAGACAATCCCTTTGCGTTCGATGTGTTCCTCCTGGGTGTTTCGATTGACCGAAATGGCATTAGAACCGGTGGTAAAATAGTTTCCTTCAATGGAACCAACTGGCGACAACAGAATCAAGAAATCGGTGTTGATTTGACGCTGCGTGATAAGTTGAAACTTAAGAAGCTCACCAGTGCCAACGATACGTACAAGATAATCAACGATGAACAGATTTTGTTTGACTCGCAAACAGCAGATACAAGTTCGGTAAAACTGGTTTGGCCCCATTACTTTGCATCGCAGTCCAAGGAAGATCCACCTCGAATATACCTTTTCGATAAGAATGAAACCATACAACTAGAAGCACATGAAAAGCTAAGTGCATTAAGTAACAATCTAGTAGTAATTACTACCGACAGAGGAAATGCGACAGTTTTGCTGCGACCAGTAAGCAGTTTCCTGCAATCGACTAGAGAAGTTTTGTCTAATCAAACGTTGGAGCTGAACACGAACGAGATTCGTATTACCACCTACGAACACGTCGAAATGGTTCTGGACGCTCTGTCAAATGACTACGTGTTCACCCAAAGCAGAATCGTTCCTGGGGGAAATACAACCAAATTCGGTTGGTATGAACATAGATATGATCCTGTATCCAGAGAATTGAGCCGTATCGTATCCGACAGTGAAGGTAGCTACATTAAAAATATAGATCCAGAAATCGGTGGCCAATATGAGAAACCTAACTCTACCACTGTAATTACCGACAAGTCTGGACGTTTGCCTATAGTGGACATAGGTCCAATGAATGTTACCGATGGAGAATATTCGTACTACGGATTTGAGACATATGAACGAACGCTTTTTGAAAAAGAACAAAGGTGGAAATTTAACAATGACCGTTTGGTGATAGAGAATGGAAACCGCTTCCTCCAATTGGAGAATGGAAATGATCGCTTCGAAGGAACAGTTCACATGAAAATGTCTAATGAAACGTACATTTTATCTTGTTGGATCAACACGGATACAGTTCAGAAAATAGGCGATGAAATCAAACTTGCCACGATTACGCTGGTGGATAGAGATGACAGCGATGTTGAGATTGGCAAGGGAATAATTCAACAAATTGTTGACGATTGGTACTACGTTGAGCTGCAAATCAAAACCCGGGATCTGCGGAATGCTGTTACTGCGAACCTAAGTATTACACCAACCAATAAAATGACCTTGCGTGTGGATCACGTTCGATTTTCACCGATGAGTGTCGATTTCAAAGCTTACATATATCGGCAGTCATACTGTACAGTGAGCGCAGTATTACATAACAACGGACTGGTGACGCAATATCTATTGGATCCACATGGAAATCGAGTAGTTTTCGTGTCAGAATCAGGAAAAGTAACCGATTTTATAACGTACTCAAAAACTTATTACATTAGGGCCTCCCAAAAACTTCCGCATGTAATGGAAATAAGACCTCGAGACGGAGTGGTAGAACGTTTCAATGATTCATTTTCGGAAAATTGGAATCCAATCAACAGAGCTGCATGGGAAACTGTAAACGGTTATTTGATTCATAAGAAGGCTGAAGGGGATTTGTTGAAAATAAATGTATCTACAAAATGCGACATGTTTGTCGTTCGATTCGTGTATAATCTACAGACCAAGGATGCTGCTATACAACTGGTGGTAAACGAAAGCAAAGTCGACGCTCTATGCAGATCTTCTAAAAGTATATGTGCCACAGGTAACGTTCCAGACTACGGGGAAATCGTTGTGTTTGTTTCCAAATCACATAAAGCGGTATGGTTTGAAGGTACTTTAATGTATGAAGCTTCGCATAGTATACCCAATTTGAACGAAGTCGGTCTTAACGTAGCAGGATCGGTGAAAATCAGTGAAATGCTAATACTGTACGATCCGTCAATAAAGATCACATATTACAATCGTCTCGGATTGCCGAGGCAAACGCTATTCATGCAAGACGAGGACTCCGTACGAATTAAAGAAGTACTCTACGATGAAATCGATCGATCAATCATAACCACAAAGTGGACAACGGTCAAGAAGAGTGGTGATTTGCTTTTCGACTTTCATCAATGTTTCATCACGTCTGTGAAATCTTCGAAGCTTGAAGGTTTGGTCGATCAACTAAATCCGGACTGTAAGGGTTATCCGTACTTCAGAAAGGACTATGCAAACAATCCTACCACAGTGGAAGCGGTTATTTCAATGCCGGGTGAAACGTTCTCAAAAGACCGGAAGTATTTCAGACAACTCTCGAGAAAATCTAATATTAAAATTCTGGATGTACTGTTCCCTTCAGAAGCCGGTTTTACGCAACAAGTTGAAACTAGGCAGAACATATCATGTCATGTTATGATCAGCAACGCAAAGAATCAGAAGGTAGCATTTTACATTCAAACTGATGATTCCGACAGACGAATGACAACGTATGAGTACGACGGTGACTACCTAATCCTAGAATTACCACCGATGTATCACGTATTGGCAGGTACATTCAATCGCACAAAAGCATTCTGGAATGGTGACAAAACGGCAGAAGACAATCAGTTACAACAGCAGTGGGGCAATCGATATGCTTACAATGATAAAGGTCAGATGTTAAGTAAGAGAACGCCTGATTCCGGCATCCAAAGATTTGTATACGATGATGACGTTGTTAGATTCTTGGTACACTCGGATGGAAACAGGACGGATAAAACTGTATTGTTATTTTATGGTGCTACTGGGAAGATTGTCAAAGAAGCCATAGTTGATGTCCAACATGCAGACTTTCCCAATTTCTCTGCCAACAGTACATTGTCAGCGAAATCCTCCAACTACGTTGAATATTATTACGGAGAGTTTGATCCTTCACCGAACATAAGATACAGATCGCAACAATCGATGCGACGTAGCCAGGATAAGCAGATGATAGAGAGTCTAGTTTTCGACAACAATGATAAAATCACGAAAAAAGTGCATGTTGTTCCAGCGCTGAACACGTCGTACTCCATTGATTACGAATATCTGAATGATAAGCTGATCATGGTCCGCTATCCGATTGACGTGAACGGCACCGATTTCAAATTGATGTATTCCTATAACAACGCTGGAGATATGGTCAGCATTGGGACGTTGACAAATCCGGTGCGATTTGCAAAACTGCAGTACAATGCAGATGGCTTGGTACAAGAAATTCAGTTCGAACCCGGTTCCAGCTCAGCTTACAAACGGGAGTTCGATTACAACGAACCAGGTTATCTTAAGCGAATTAGTGACACTTTTCTGGAGGAAAAAGTGAGCTACTTGGAAGCTGATGGCTATGGCAGTGCTTATTCCATGATATTCGAAGGATTGATTTCGAAAACTTCCTTCACTGCCAGTTGGCATCAGCGAAGTAATCCAGCATTGTCAAGACTACAGTTGCGTAAAATCGAGAACATCAACAAAACACAAGCCGAATACTGTTTGACAAGACTTCTGCTGTACGGTTATTTTGATTACCATTTCCACCCGTTGAAATCATTCTACCCTATATTGGATGACACGGTTGGTCAGACGTGCCGCTCGAAACAGCTTCGTAAAGTATTCCACGCAAATGGGTTTTCTACGGAATATGGTCATTCATATGAGTACGATAGCCACGAACAGCTGGTCAAAGCCAAATATTTCCAATCGTCATCAGAGGCATCCTGGAAACCGCTTGTAGAAACAACTTTTTCTTCGAAGATACGTGAAATTGATGGCGACACGTCTAGGAAGATTTGGGCTAACCTTATAGATAATGGTTTCATCGTTCGAAACTGCTACAATCCTGGAATTTGCGAAGGTGCCCCAGGAAATAATTCATTGCTGAACGATATCATACCGAATGGATCGCACATTCAAGCACTCTTGTTGAATGCGATTGCTAAAGTGCAAACCATTTCCCCCGTAAACTTTGCACAAAAGTGCGCCAAATGGACTGAAAATGCTGGAAATATTGACTGTTGCAAAACTTGGATAGATTTGCTAGCCCACAACTTCGTTGGAGCACACTCGAACAAAACGCAAAATGCACTTAATCCCACTTTTAGGAACATGCTTAGATCGTATTCCTCGTTCGTTCCACAAATCGTCCAGGTACTTCATCAACACTTTGCAACACGACTCGGAAAATCTCCCGGTGATGTACTATCCTGCCGATTCGATGCAAACGGAAATCATCGGTTGTTCAACAGAGGATTCGATCGATATCTATTCACTTATAAGGAAGGAACCAATCAGATACATACGATGGTGAAAAGTGATATTGATGATGACTCGAACAACAAGACGTACCGAATGGAACACAACAGCGAAGGAAGTGTAACGGTTGCCGAACACAAGGGCATACAGAAAATCGAATATGATCCTCTTTTGAATAGACCGTCAAGAATTGAGATGGCCGATGGACGGGTATTGAAGTTTGATTACGATGTTCGGGGAGAGAGAACGTTTAAGCAAGTCTTGGACAAAAACGGCAATATTTGGAAGGAGAAGTATTACATTCGAGATTTGAACAGAAACGTTCTGGTCGATCTACAGCTGACGTTCGTCGCCAAAGACAAATCACCAGATATGCAAGTAACCAGCTATGTCTACTCCAATCGAGGCTTAGTAGGATTCGTTAGAAACAATGAATTTTACAGCGTGTTTACCGATCATGAAGGTTCCACAAGGCTGGTAATAAAAAACGGTGAAGTTAAAGCTGCTTATGACTACCTACCCTTCGGTGTTGCTTTTCGAAAGGCTGAAGAAGATCTGGATGGAGGCATTTCCTATCTGTACACCGGACAAGAGTGGGATGAAGAAACGGGCTTGTACAACTATCACACCCGTTTGTATGATCCGGAAATTGGGCGTTTCTATCAAATCGACCCTAAAAATCAATATCCCAGTCCATACGTTTACGCTGGTAACAGCCCGGTGACTCTCGTAGATCCTGACGGTCAATTTTTCATGCTATTAGTTGCCATAGCATTGACAATTGTAGGTGCTTATCTTGGCGCAGCAGCTGCAAATGGATCGTGGAATCCTGCCGAATGGGATTGGAAAAGCCCCAACACATGGTTGGCAATTACTGGTGGTGCATTAAGCGGAGCTGCGCTGCCCTTCAGCATTGGTTCAACTTTGACGTATTTCACTACTACATTAGGACTCAGCGTTAGTACCTCAGTGAGCATTGTGATTGGAAGTGGAATAGGATTCACTTATCTTTCGATGGCTGCAGCGAACAGCAATTGGAATCCTGCAGAATGGGATATGAAATCACCGGTCACTTGGAATGCATTCTTCCAGGGCATTTCCACTAGCGTTTCTGTTCTGAATAATCCAAACACTCTAGTGAGTTCGTACAATGGAATTTCCACTTATGTTGGCAAAGGATTATTCATCGGTGGCAAATTAGTTTTGACAACAGGATTTGTCTATATGTTTGGAGTGATACAACAGAATGGAGAATTCGATCCTTCCAAGTGGGATTTCTCAAAACCGGGATTGTACATGTCAATGTTCGACGGAGCTATGCAAGCCACGGCGACTGTCACCTTTGTCACTAACCTGCCGAAAGATGTGAAAATGTGGGTTAAGAAAATTTCCAGTGCCCTTGACCGGATGGATGAAATCGATACATTCCTGGCGTACAATAGACACTTGGGTTCAGACTGGTCCAAAAAACTTTCCGAAGCGCGGTACTTTTTGAAAGCAAACTCTGCTAATTTCAATGCAGTGGGAAAAACTACATTCAACATTTTTCTGTACACTGTAATATCTTCGTTAAGGATGTCCCAAACGATTGAGAATAATGTAGTTCCAGAGTTTGGCATCATGATAGAGTTCATCGAAGCAATAAACACAATAGGATCTTTCACCGACAAATTGGTTAATGAATTGGTGCCAGCCGATATAACTGCAAAAACGGCAATGGTTCGCAAAATGCCTGACAATATTGAAGTCCCCGAATATAGTGCCTTATCATCCGGTGCATCCAAACTGTTTAGCTCCATATTGGATTTCATCAATTTCCGTTTCATCATCCCGGACCAAGCAGGAACTTCACGGTCAGATATAACAAACTACATCCCAACAAACTCATCCACCGGTAGAATTTTGTCCATCCCCAACTGTTACCAATTGTACGATGCCAGAAGTGCAAAATCCTTCGTTCACTGCTATGGTCACAGGTCAAAGATATTAATTCATTTCAAACACTCGTACGATGGAATCGCGGAAGATGTATACCACACTTGTTATCCGCTTAGTCACTACCACATACCGAGTGTATCCTGCGAAGGCGAGAAATCTTCATTGCTGTTCACTGCTTACGACCGGCCGAAGATGTTTGATTTTCTGGATGGGTGGGTTCTGTTGGCTCGCGTCATGCCTACTGCAGTAAGAAGTATTGTCAGATGCGTTCGAAGCGTTTTCGGTAGTGACCTGAACCGAACTCTAACGGTTCGAAGAGATGAAGCAGAAATGCTGGTAGTGAGCCTAGATGGATTCGATAGAATGAAGGAAGTAACTAAGACAGTTACGTGGGCAGAGAAGGCGCTTGAAGAATTAAACGAAGACATTGTGGAATTTTTAGATGCTCCGAGAAGGGACTTTCGGACGTACGTTGCTTTCAAGGAAAGGATCGCAGCGTTGCAGGAAGATATTTTGGAAGACTTTGAACTTCGCAGTTCTAGAATGGATGGCCATTTGGTTAATTTTAAATCAAAGATACAAGAGTTGAATATTTTGCAGCCGCCAACAATTCAATGTTTGATGCACGAAATTGATCTGTTGGCTCATGACGGAGGAAAGATGCTGCAATAACTGTGTTTAATTACAGATGACCGAAATCATGCTTGAAGTTTTGGTTACAAAATAAAATGATACAATCATGTTTTAAAACTGCTCTTGGCGGTGTAATTTTTTACCGAAATACTTCCTTCGAATATTTACAATACATTTGACCAGGCATGGAAAATTATTTGCATTCATTTCGTGCATTCATTTACATTCATTTGCCTCTGACTTTTTTCATCAACAGCATTCCGCAAAATGATGTATAAAACTTTTGTAGGTTTTGTTATTAGCTACAATTTAGGTTATTAAGTCAAATCCGTATCTCTTATACATCATGAACTAGAGCGGGCAGAACTTGTTACTGTTTTTCAGTGAATGTAAAATACATTGACTGAAAAACAGTAGTGGCTTCTGTTTGCTCTGCTTTGTCATGCATAAGAGATACGGATTTGACTTAATAACCAAAATTGTAGCTAATAACAAAACCTACAAAAGTTTTATACATCATTTTGCGGAATGCTGTTGATGAAAAAAGTTAGAGGCAAATGAATGTAAATGAAGTCGTGGAGACAAGACAAACAAAAACTAATAACGAGAAACAAAAGATAAAGGAATTAAATTCTTCTTCTTCTTTCCTTTATTTAACGTCGGTCTCTGTTCCGCAATCTAGTGCCAATCACCGACGGACATCGATTGCCATCCATTGACGGAAATCGAATGTGCAGGAAGGCAGTTTCCACACCTGCGTAGGATATCGCACCCATTCAACACACATGGGCCGGGACCAACGGCTTTACTTCCCTTCCGAAGGAAGACGTGACCAGAGATTTTTATGCCTCAGAAAAATCCCACCGACCTCGGCTGGGATTGAACCCAGACCGGGGTGTTAGAAAGCAGTCACGCTTACCACTACACCACCGGCGCCGGCTGAATTAAATTCTTATACTAGACATTTGCAGAAACACATAAATCGACTGCATATAGCAGAGATCGAGGGTTGCCAACACGTCTCTGATAGGAACATAGGGTTGTCTTCCTTGGGACTCGAGGGTATTTAAAAGTCGCTCTCTGGCGGCATCATTATCCGTACATTGGCAAACTGCATGATCGATGTCACCGTAACCATTTCCAAACCGACAGTTGTTGCTGTCCACGAGGTTTATTGTATAGAGATGTGCAGCTAGTGAGTGGTGGTTGGCAATAAGTCTACTTAGGTCCAAGCCTTTAAACCACGCTCTCGAAGAAACATTAGGAATAATTGAATGTAACCACCGTCCAAGATTTCCAGTGTTACAATCGGTTTGCCAACTCGAAATGGTACTCTGACACACTAAATGGTAAGAGATGAACTAGCCTCAGGCTAAAAATCTCTATAATAAAGAAAAAAAAAAAAAAAAAAAAAACTAAATGGTAAAATTCATTGTGTGAAATTTGCCTGTCATAAAATTCGCCTTCCTGCGCGTCCACCTTTGCGAAAGAGCCTTTGTTGCCTGAGATTGAGCAATATGGTCCTCTTATGATCTTTCAACCAGCACACTCATCTGCTCCCTTACCTTTGAAAGGAAATAAGATAAGTGCCTACCTGGTTTGATCGACCGAACGTTGCTTGTAAGAAAATTCAGAACCGCACAAGACAAGTAAAATAACTTGCGGCAAAGCTCCTAAAATGTCGTGATTTCAGAGAGATACCGTTGCTTGCGGATGGAATTATAGCTGGTAAAGCACACCGGGGCAAATTGAAACGGTTTTTTTTAAAGTTGAAAAAATCTTAAAGTAACATAAACCTGATGTTGTTTGCACCAAAAGTTTCGTAAAAGCGTCTCCTATCATGAAAAAGTATTAAACTAAACTAATCCATAAAACTCACTTTTGTATGAGGATACAAATATTTCCTTTGGTTTGTTTTTTCCGTCGATCTTGTTCTCCGTGCTGAGCACCAATGGTACCGACGTGCCAGGAAGGCAGCTCCCACACCTGGACCCTACCTATCGACCCATCAACTCATGAACCGGGGACCAACGGCTTTACTTCCCATCCGAAGGAAGGCGTGATCAGAGATGTTATGCCTCAGAACATCCCGGCGGCGCCGACTGCGATTGAACCCAGGCCTGCTGGGGTGAGAGGTAATCACACTTACCACTACACCACCGGCGCCGTTAGGATACAAATATGGTGTATGTTGTTTCATCTTGCCTAGTGGGGTATATCTTTTTTATCTCTCTTTATTAAGGAGACTTTCAGTCGTCGGCTGGTTCATCTCTGAAAGAGGGGTATGTTGATACACACATATTATTGAGGTCTTCACATAAGTTCAGAAGTTCACGGAAGCTTAAATATGTTTAAAACAGCTCAATTAAATTCAGGGCAGTACAATAAGCTTCATGAGAACTGGTAAAACTTTAGAGAATATTAGATAACTCAGAGAACCTAAGAGCAATTCCGTTAACATTAGAGAAATTACATAAATTTTATAGAAGTTTCAAGAACTTTAGCGAATCGCTGAAACTTTAGACAATATCTATGATAGTTAGCACAAGTTCAGGTAAGTTTAAGAACTTAATATTTGTATTCTCCCGAAACTCTCATGGAGTTCCTTTGAAGATCTAATTATTCTCAGATTTAATTGTATTCCTTCTTTTAGCATCTTCCTCACCACCTAAGTATTCCAAAATGTCCAAGGACTATGCTCCGAATTCGTTTTTTCCCACAAACTTCATGAAATTATCCTCAGAATGCCTTTGAAATTTTCCTTTGAAGTTTTCAGAAGTTCTGCGTCTCTGAAATTTCTATGAGTTTTCAAATTTTAGGGGAAGTGTGGGCATCACTTTTAGTAGAAATGAGTTTTAGTGCAGCTAAATAAAACTCAGTTCATTTCGAGACACATTGAACCCGCAATGAACTGTCAAATGCTAAGAAAATAAACAAAACATACTCAAGCATCTATCGTGTGCTGCTGGATGTTATTTTTTGCCAGCCGATTTTAAGGTTTTGACAGCACTAAAAGATTGGAATCCTGTTGTTTTGCAAACATATTGTCATCTTAACCTTTAAGGTCATCCTTGTGCGATTATAGATAATTTTGACCAACAATATGTTCAAAGTGTTTTTTATGTTACTTCATACGCGAAGTTAACGATTTTCAGAGTTGGTTGGAAATGCTAACATGAAGCTTTAGTGTGATGATTTATTAGCTAGAGAATGATCTTTAGAAGAATGTAGGTGGATAGTTCCGTTAGAGTACGGCAGTATGAAAATTGAATAGAAGTTGAAAATGAGCCCTTCGATCATTTTCAACTTCTATTCAATTTTCATACTGCCGTACTCTAACGGAACTATCCACCTACATTCTTCTAAAGATCATTCTCTAGCTAATAAATCATCACACTAAAGCTTCATGTTAGCATTTCCAACCAACTCCAACAATATGTTGTTAATTATGATTTAGAAAAATATGTTCTGTTTCGGTAATACCGTCACTCGTTAAGTGGGGAAAGACCGTCATCCTATTTGGAGTGCTTGAGTATAAGGGTGGGTCACAAATACTTACTCTTTATCGCTCTTTCGATTTTTATTGAGGCTCCCAACAGCTGTGCTAAATTTGAAAGATTTTGTTGCGATTTGAATTTGCACCAGGATTTTAAAGAGATTCTGTGAACATAAAGGGAAATGAAATGAAAATATTAATTTGCTTGTCACAAATTCACACTTTTCTCTACATCGGATATGTTTGAGATTTAAATTGGACAACTCATGCAGAATAACTGTTTTGAATACTGCAAACCAATTCGATTACTGTGCAAAAAATGAACGTACCAATTAAGTTGAATAAATCGAGTTCTATGCGCATACCTACAGGGTTAGCGAGTGCCTCTGGAGGACCAGTTTAAAGTATACACTTAGTTTTTCATTTGTTGCTGAGATTCTGATAAACATTATCCGAGACTTAGCAATCAAATGTCACCTTTGCTGAGATCTCAGTGAAACTTATTTTTGCCGAGATTTGCACAGCCGAGCTCGGTAGAAAAAAACTAAGTGTGTATACTGTTTCTAATGAATGCTTTCTTAATCATCATGAATACCATGAATAGCCACTAGAGATACTATTTTTTTTTTCTTTGATTTGTTTTTCCGTCGATCTTGTTTTCCGTACTGAGTACCAATGCTACTGATGCCAGCAAGGTAGCTCCCACACCTGGACCCTACCTATCGGCCCATGAACTCATGAACCGGGCACCAACGGCTTTACTTCCCAGAGATTTTATGCTTCAGAAAATCCCGGTGACCGACTGGGGTTGAATCCAGGCCTTCTGTGGTGATAGGCAATCACGCTTACCATATGCGATATTAATTTAATAAGTCTAAAACATCAAACATCAGACCATCACTTTTCAAAAAATACAAAAAGTGGAAAGGACAGAATGTTGGAAGGACAGAAGGTCAAAAGAAACTACAGATCGAGTGGACAAAAAGTACAAATCCAAAAACTTATCCAATTGCTAAAATGAACGTCTTTCTAAGAATGGAATATTGAAGTAATCGTCTTTGTGTAAATGCAAGAATGGTAAAGAGTTAAGATATAATGTAGACTCTTCAAATGTTGAAATTTACCTACTCTGTGCGTGTGAACTCTGGTCCTAAGTTATCATTTGTTTAAGGAAAAATAAAGTTTCTTGATCTAAGCGAACAATTATTAACAACAGAGCAATTTGGGCGCCGGTCGTGTAGTGGTAAGCGTGATAACCTCTCACCCCAGCAGGCCTGGGTTCAATCCCAGTCGGCGTTGCCGGGATGTTCTGAGGCATAACATCTCTGAAGGGAAGTAAAGTCGTTGGTCTCCGGTTCATGTCGATAGGTAGGGTCCAGGTGTGGGATCTGCCTCCCTGGTGTCGGTAGCATTGGTGCTTAGCACGAAAAAAAAACATCGACTGAAAACAAATCAAGGAAAAACAAAAACAGAGCAATTTTTAATCAACCCTGCTTGTAGTTTTAGTTCTTCATTGTGTGTTTAAAAGCCGGATAAGTTTTATAAGCTATCAAATGAAAATTAAGAATTTTTATTCTGCTTGCTTCGAGTAGCAGATTATGATTAAATATTGAACTCAGGGTCACAGGAACCAACATTTCTAATTTTGGAAAGTACATATCTGAAAATGAAATTTTCGATTGATGAAAAGAAAATGGGACCAATCCCAAGTAACCAACAAGCCTGCTTGATAATAACGTGGCTTATAATGTTCCGCAGCCCTATATAAGTCGTATGCAAGCATGGGAAAAATCGTCGAAGTAACAAAGCTGTATCCAAGTCCACAGCCATGGCATTGTTAGACGTTGAGAAAGCGTTTGATAATGTCTGGCACAATGGGCTTGTATACAAGCTTTGTAACTTCAACTTTCCATTACATCTGGTTAAAATCACCCGTAGCTACCTCCAGCAAAGGTCGTTTAAGGTATCGTTGAATGGTTGTCTTTCCGACACGTTTTCCATCCCAGCAGGAGTCCCGCAAGGCAGTCTGCTGGGACCCTTGCTTTACAGCATTTACACTTCCGACATTCCTCCCCTTGGAGACGGTTGCGTGTTTTTCCTGTTCGCAGATGATACCGCAATAGCCGTCAAAGGAAGGATGCCTCGCGAAATAACGAACAAACTTCAACGATGCCTTAACGCCTTTGCTGATTATGCCACCACGTGGAAAATCAAAATCAATGCTTCCAAAACACAAACAATCATGTTCCTCCATCGGCAATCACCCAAACTAAAACCGACTCCCTCTTGTACTGTAATCATGGATGGCACAAGGGTTGAGTGGTCCGCCGAAGTAACCTATCTCGGGATGTTGTTTGACGAAAAGCTCCTATTCCGCTCGCATGTGGAGAAAACCGTAGTCAAGTGTTCCGCCTTGGTTAGGAGTCTGTATCCGCTGATTTGCCGCAGATCCCGCCTCTCAAGGGTGAACAAACTGGCCGTCTACAAACAAATCGTAGCACCTGCGATCCTCTACGCAGCTCCGGTGTGGGAATCATGTGCACAGACTCACAGGAACAAAATTCAGGTAGCTCAGAATAGAGTGCTGAGGATGGTTCTTGATCGTCCTTTCGACACTAGAATAACAAATTTACATGAAGAGGCAGGCATTGCCAAAATAGATTCCAAAATTAACGAAATTAAGACTAAATTTACACAAAAATGTAATTTATCAGAACATGCTTTGATAAGCAATTTGTATATAGTAGGTTAGGTGTATATAGTAGTTGTAGGTTAGTTGTAGTTGTAAATAGTAGTTATAAGTAGTCTCCTTTTTCCAATTCAAATCAAACCAATCCCACCAAGGTCGTCATACTTTAAAATAGGCCTGATAGGACTAGGAACTGTAAATAATAATTAAAATCTCAAATGTACCAAAGTTGAAAAGACGCATCTGTGTCACTTAACAAATTCATACATGTAAACCACACAATCACAAGAAATAAAGATCATTTAAATGGCAAAATGGGAAAAATCGTTTCAATTTGCATTTACTACTCACTCACACGCATACAACATCAGAAACGAGCAGTAGCTTGAGCGAGTCGCACTGATTCGCATTCTAGTTGCTTCTAATTTCTTCGATGAACACAGAATTGAGCAAAACATACAGCTCTGAGTTAACATGAATGTTTGAGTGTAGTAGTGCGGATAATTCCGCAGTTATAATTTTTTGCATGCTGAGTCTTTTACGATTGCATTCTGTAGTGAGTGAAAATTTTGCAGAAGGAATCACTTTTTATGCTCTAGCTTTAAACATAAATTGACACATTTAAATCGGTATTAACAGAACAGAACAGAAAAGTATTATATTAATAACGTAAGCGTCACAGAAAAACTGTTAAACTGCTGTGACCAACTTAACTGATTTAAGTCACTGAAGCAAAAAAATCTCACTTGGCTATTTAAATCGTTAGCATTTGATTTTTACGCATTCAATCGTGTTCTCGCTCGGTAGCAGAGATACCAGGTTTATTTTGAAAAATTTGGCAAAACCCGACAAAAAATAAGTTAAAAATATGACACAGCAAATTAACATAGGGAATCTGCCAGATTTCTCAAAAAATCTGTCTGACAGAACTAAATTTCTGGCAACCTAGCAGCCCTGCTTGATACACGCTCGTCCAGTTTTACTCAACAGCGAGTAACTTTTACTTAGATTCGTATTTCTATGCTAAATGTCAAAAACTGAGTAACATAGATTTACCAAACTAAGTAACTTCTACTCTGATTATGTTAAATTAATGCTTACACACTTTTGAGTTATCTCACAGATATTTTACCCATCATATTTTGCAAAAGACTTTAGACATTTTTGTTCTGTTTACTCCGGTTTTTAATGAAAAAAATCCCCAGGAATGCTCATTTGAAAGTGCACTAAATTAAACAAACAACCCGATAAAACTTGAGTAGGGTAGAGAACTACTTCGGCCTAATCGCCCATTTTGGGCCTATCGAGCAGAAAACTTCAAATAAATCCATGATTTCAGAGTTAACAAGTAAATTATGCGTTTGGTACTTTAGTTAATAAGCTACCGAACAAAGTCAATGAGAACGCGTGATATGAAGGTTTGCACCGATAATTCCCAAAAACAAAAGAAGCGCTCTGACCGAATCAATTTTTATCTTCATCCGATAGGCCGAAGTGAATTCATTGGCGTTTCAATGGCGTTTCAATGCGTTAGGCCGAGTTTAGAATCCGTAGGCCGAGTTTGGCGTCAAGAAGCAGTGTTAGACTTTTGACAATATCTTAACGATTGGTTGCTCTTTATCAAATATTACGGTACGTACGGAAAGGTACATTTGGAAGCCATCAGTATTAATAACATCCCGTTTGGTGCTAACCTGAGCTAGATTAAGAAAGACTAAGTGCGGGTTGTGCTTAATAGGCCGGAAATGGGGTAGTTAATCCTACTACATCTCCCGAAACCACATTAACAGCTGCAGTTCAGCATTTCCCGATAAATTTCCCCGTCTGAATAAACGGGTTTCACACAGCGTTTCATTTTTTGACAATCGGCATTAAACAGTAACTGGTGACCAGCAGGAGGAAATAGAACTTTTAGATTAGGAGAATTTGAGTCTGGTGGCAGAAGATAAGGACCTAACTTTGCGAGATATTAATTAATAGTTGCTTCAGGCAGAGATAGAAAACGAGCAGAAGACCCAGTGCCTCTTTTGAGGAGCAGAATAATTCAATTACATCGCTAAACATCAAGCATAATTTTAAGTCTCAATCAATGTCTCAGCTCAATTCGTGATTCTGTAGATTTGTAGGTATACCAAATTTTCTTCTATTTCAGGATTACAAATACCCTGTTGGTGAGAGGACTTTACCAAAGTGTTCTTCAACCCGAAAAAAAAAAATCCTATACGTTATCGTTGTTTTGTGATGATTTTATACTTTTCTAACATTGAACATAATATAATATGACAATTCAAATAACTTATGTTAAAAAGGAGAAATTTTACAAGAACTGAGAAACATTTACTCATTTTCGCTTATTTTTCGAAAACCATAACTGAGTAGAAGAAACTCTGAAATTAACAGATGCATTCATTACTCAAAAGTGAGTAAATATGGGTTTACTCATTTAAACGAGTTACTTTATACTCACTTTAGAGTAAAATTGAAGAGGCGAAAATTGAGAAAATTGTTCAGCTGTCTTTCAGTTTATCCTTCATTCGCTGTCACTGCTGTCAGTTCCGATTCTATCTGCAGAGTCACCACCGACAAACCGACATGACACTTAATTCTGACTTATGCCCGAAAATCGTAAACGGCAGATTTAAATGTGCAGTGATCCGATCTGTCAAAACCATAGGATTTTTTGATCTAGATAAAAATAATTTGTACAGAATAGATCAGGCACGAACCAATTTATAACTTTTGCATGCGGGTTCATGGCTTAGGTAAATATTTCCCGCTAACACGGAGCCAGATGTCAGTAGTGTGCTCTGGTCAGAAATTTTATTGTTTTAGCTATGGTCATTCATGTCGGTTTGTCGATGGAGTCACTTCGTTGGAATAATTTACACTCGTTCGGCAATATGTGTTTATTCATTAATCATAATCATTAATCGTAGGAAAAACGGTTTTATTCGTCAATAAAAAAATAATAATCATTGTGGAAATAGGTTTCTTCATTAATCATAGCATATAAAATTTTATCATAGAAAAATTAATCATACATTCGGAATGTTTAATCCTTCATGTTTAATTTTATTTGTCTAATATTTAACGATTATCTGTTGCAAAATAATAGTATATACTAAATTAAATTTTATATTGCTATACAGCAATGACCTTATTTTAAGCGTCAGACTTTGATCTATCAATAATTTAACATAACATGGAGTTACCCAAATATTACTCATTCATCTTCAAGATATTTGGTGCAAAAAGACAAAATCGGGTAATTACTGTATATTATATTTTATTGATATGGGATTTGCGGAATTGAAAAGGAAAATAATCAATCCACTCCAAAAACTCTCAATTAATAAGCTTGAAATAACTAATGTTACACTTGAGATAGTGTGTAGATAATATAATATGATTTTCGAATCAACAGTCGAGTAAACAGAGTAAAGGTTTTATTCATTCATCATACTTGAATTTACTTATTTTCATAGGTCTTAATGATATTGTTTTGCCTGTGTATATCTTCATGCAATGTTGATTTCTTTTCTCCATACACGGCTAGGGAATCGCATGTAAAATCGAATCTAATCCATAGTTAAAACTTAAGCTTCATACAAAAAATCATCTCATGCTATTCTACGCCAGCGAGATCTTGCGATCCCGTGTAATTGAAAAATCCAGTTGCTTAGTTACTTTTGGATTTCTTTTGTTTCTTGCTTCCTTTTGCCTTATCTTCTTAATTAATATAGATAACCAACCAACCTTCCTTTTGCCTCTTGAATCAGTATATCATATTTTTTTGCAACACCTGCTCAATATTCAATCTATTGGATGATAAATCTACACTTTGTAAATTATTTCCTACATTTGCGTTAGATAATGTAACAGGTAAGCCTACAAAACTGCAACTATTCGAACAAATGTCCGAAAAACCAATCAATTCAATAAGTTCTTCATCTAACGCTCCAATACGATCAATCAATTCATTAAAATCGATCAAAAAAGAATTTTTCGAAAACTTCTCAACATCGTCGGCAAGATCTTCCATAATGTGCGTTATCCATTTTATATCTCGAATGCGGGATTTTGCTTGAAGCATCTTCTTATCCATATCATGCATTTTATGTCTCAAAACATCGATTTCCTTTCTATTTGCTGAGACTGCGGGCAGAGTTTTTGCAGCCGTTGAAGAGAAAATCGCTCGCGCACTTCGTTTTATCGTTTTAACTGCCGTTGGAGTTACCAAAGCTAACATTAACCACCCATTGAAAACGTCTAGAATGTTGATCGAAGGTTTTGGTGTAAATATTAGATTTGAGCTCTCACCATAGCACACCACAGAGGGTTGACCAACGTGTTCGATTGGCGAACAGCTGGAATAGAAGTCAGCGACCAGGTTGCTGTCGGATTCCAATGTTGGGAAAATATCATACTGCGAGTCCAAGCCGTAGCATCGCACACGTGTGGATTGATCTTCCATTTTGAAATGGTAACAATTGTTCAGTGTGATCGAATTATATAACTTTTGTGGCATTTTTAGAAAACCCACATCAGTAAAGGGAGCTTCGGGTTGCGACGAATCGACCCGGGGTTTGAAATAGGTGTTCAAATATCTGAAAACATCACTGAATAGTGACAGCTTCACTGTAGCACTCGAACTCAAAAGATGTGGTTGCTCGGTAACCATTAGAGGACGCACAAGCTGTAGTTGACAACAGTTTACATCTCTCTTTCGCCGTAGGCCTTCTCGGCCCTCTAGCCGTTCTAAGTCGCCAAGTGATTCAATCAGATCACCAGTTAAATTCCCAATTGGTACAACCTTGGAAGCTTCAAATAAAACAGACTTAATGGTTGCGATCACACCGTTGGAGCTAGTTTTCTTACTAGTGGCAATCGTTTGCGCCAGTGCAGCACCTCCTGGTCGTTGTACATATTTAGCCAAATCCTTGAATGTACTTTTAATCGACAGAAATAGTTCGGTTGACTCTATGAAATAGACTTTTGCATCAGATACTAGCGATTCCATGTTACCAGCCTTCAGACTGCTGACAAGAGTTCTGAAATCTTTCACATTCTGCGTCACTTGTGTTTGGATTTTGTGCAAATCTGGCGAAACGGACATTCCGAAGCTTGCGCCCATGGTTACCTTCCAAATGGTATCGGGATTTTTCCAATCCCACTCCCAGAAACTCAAGTTCCAGTCATTGGCTGCTGAACCCGCAAATAGAGCAACGCCAGCAGTACTACTAGTTACAATGCCGACAAAAATCATCTTATCAGTTAACCCACTCAAAGATATGAATTTCGCGTGGACCTTGCCGAAACCAGCAAACAGCGTAGCTCCTGTTATACTACCCGAGAACAAGGAATTCCAAGTTGCAGGACTGGACCAGTTCCATTCTGCAGGATTCCAGTTTCCGTTAGCTGAAGCTCCACTTAAGAATGCAAATCCTACTGAAGTAGTGGCAATGAGTCCCCCCGCCACTGCTCCTGACAGACCCACTGTAGTCGTTAAAAATGCAAAAGAGGCTCCAATTCCAGCTGGAGCCAATCCCCCTAGTATTCCACCCATCACACCGCCTATCAATGATGGCATCAATTTCCATTTCGTAGGGTTGAATGAATTGTTTGCAGCTGATGCTCCAAGATACCCGCCAACAGCTGCAAATGCTATAACTGCTAGAAATGCAAACTGCCCGTCAGGATCCACCAGGGAGATAGGAGAGTTTCCAGCGTACACATAAGGACTGGGATATTGTTCTTTAGGATCAGTTTGATAAAAACGACCGATCTCCGGATCGTATAATCGAGCATGAAAATTGAACAGTCCAATCTCTTCATCCCATTCCTGGCCAGTGTACAGATAAGCGATTGATCCATCGGGATCAGTGTTATACTGTCGGAGTAGCTGTCCATAAGGTAGATAGTCGTACGCTGCAACAACTTCGCCATCTTTGATAACAAGCCGAACCGAACCTTCGTGATCACTGAAAACACTATAGAACTGATCATTGCGAATGAATCCAACCAAAGCATCTTCTGCGAAAATGTAACCAGTGCCTCGAACATGGGGATCTTGACCATTTTGCAAATACGTCAACTCGTAATCAACGAGACACCTTCCCTTTACATCCCGTATGTAGTATTTCTCATTGAGAATATTACCGGTTTTGTCTCTAACTTGCTTGAATATTCTCTCACCACGTACATCGTATTGAAACGTCAATGTTCTACCATCAACCATTTTGATTTCAACGGCTCGCTTCAACAGAGGATCATAGACAATTTTGCTGATCGCTTTATGCAATGCTTTGGTTACATTCCCTTCGGAATCATGATCCATAGAAAACTCAACTTCACGCATATCTTCAGTCTTAAGGTCAGTACAGAACACCTTCGATACCTTGTTGGTGTTTTCCACATACTCTAACCGATATCGTTTGAAGCCTGTGTAAAAATGTACGTGATTCCCATTTGGATCTATGTCGTACGACTGAATATCACCTGCAGAATTTCCAAGAGCATAGGTGAAGCGATCATGCAGCAACCCAACAATATCTCCCAAATGACGGGAATAATTTTTGAGTACCATTTTTAATTCTGGATTTAAAGCCTTAATGGACTTTTCTGATCTGCTTCCAACCAAATTGTTGGACAATAGTTCTTTCCAAACACCTGAGCAAAGTTGGTTCTGATTTTGTGGATCATGTTTGTGCCAAATTTGGCAGACTACCAGAAATATTTGCTCCGGAATATCTTTGCGAGACTTGACACCATTGACAAAAAGAACTTCCAAAGAGGCCACGTTAATGTGATTTGCGATAACCGGATGGAACAAAGACTTTCCTTGAACAGCATGGCATACCTTACTATTACTGCAGTCGGTTATAATGAAACCTCCACTCGTCAATGCATTCCAAATGTTTCGAGATTCGCTAGCGTCAATTCCTCTAATGTGTTTGCTAAACGTAAGCTGTGTCAGGGGATCGAAGCTCATTTCTGCTGAATTTTGGAAATATTTGGCTTTTACGAGCTGCTTATGATTCTCATAATCATAGCGATGGCCATAAATCAATGGAAATCCCTTTGTAGCAATAATCGAAGAAATGTGATTGGCCCTACTTCCCGTGTTGCAAACTAGAGGCATTTGTAACTCGGAGGATGGATAGAAGGATTTCATTGGTCGATTCCAATTGTCAAAATATCCAAGCTTTTGAAGCGTGTCGTAGCATAAATGGGCTTGTTCTATTGATGTTTCGTTTGCCAAGAAACTTTGCCATTTAAGTTTAATTCGGCTCATGTCGCTATGTTCATGCCATGTGGCATTGAATTTTGTAGCAGATACGGTTCCATCACCAAACGATTGTCCCCCATAACTGTTGGAAATGTAGTCGATTGTTTCACTTAAAAATTTATCCTTGATGGACGATAAATATCCAGGTTCATTGTAAACAAACAAGCGTTTGTATGAAAATTTGCTTTGTGGTTCAAACTGCATTTCTTTGATATTTCCCGAAGGGGTGTAATCCAGACTTGCAATAATGCGGTTTCCAATTCTAACTGCACTTATTTTTTCGTTTAGATTATAATCATAATACGTTTTCAACTGCTTGCCACCCACGAAGAACGGATATTCAATTTCGTAGATTTTATCATTACGGAACTTGTAGTTGAAGGATAATGAATTGTTTTGCGATACAAAGATCTGGTTAATAAGTTGTTGTCTTCCATCGAACAGCAAAGCTTCTGTCACGGTTACACCGTTTGACACTTTCCTAGATTTTTGCATCAAATTTCGATGCATCGGCAAAACTTCATTTTCTCCATAATCAAACAACACATAATTCTCTGATTTCGGAAGCGTTGCATTGTTCGGCAGATACTCATGCAACTTGGTCCTTGGTATGTCAACTAAACCTCGTTCAACGATTTTACCATCATACCTGTAGGTATAATAAATTGTGTTCTGAATAGACTCGTGATCATTCTGAACTAAAAATCTGAGTAGTCCATCATCAGTGTAGATAAATTCTTGTTTTCCAGAATCTGGGGTTACTTTTTCTATCAATCTTCCTTGAGTGTCATATTTATATTGTTTACCCCATAAGTCTTTTAACAAGGCTTCTTCTGGTGACAAATTGTGTTGTTTGAAAGGAACCGGTTTGGAAAACGTCTTGACTTTGTGATGGTACATTGGAGGAAGTTCGCACAGCAATCGATTCTGGTCATCGTATTCGAAAGTCGTTAAGCGGTGATCATGATTCACTACCTTCACCAACTCTGCCACCTTATTTTTGCGTTGATCGAAAACTTGAACCGCTAACAATCCACCGGAGTTTAGCTCGAATTCATAGTTGTATCCCAGCGATTGTGGGAAAAGAACCTTCAATACAGGAAGGTTTAGATTTGTACCAAATTTGGTGCTATACTGGCCATCAACAGAGAAATCCTTACCAGGAAGTCCAGATGCGATTTTCACTTCCAAGGGGTCATCTCGATAAGATGTCCAGGCGAATGGCACTCCTTGACACTCAGGATTCATATCGTTTGCCAGGCCTTCAGCTTTTCGGTTTGTCAATATATTGTCAAGGTTAGTGATAACTCTTGGATTAAATTTGAAAAACGAGTTGGCACCAGGTTGAAGTGCGATCCATTTGGTTTTCAGAACTGGTCGATCGATTGCGTCGTACACAATGTGTCGAACGTTTATTGTATCTTGATTCTTGAGGGCTACTTCCTGAGTGAGAAGCCCTAACTTGTTTAAGTAGAAAACTTTAATGCTTGGATCATACATGTACAGAACTTCTGAAATAAATGCTTGTCCCGTTGTTCTAAGATCTACTTTTGCCGTATTTTGAAATGATGTGGTGAACAGTTTTTCCATAATCAAGTGTCCCTGTACCCACACAACAAGCTTGGTTGGCAACAATAATGCAGTTACTTCACCTTCAGAATCGATTATCTGCTGTTCATAGTTGTTGACATTTAATTTAGTTTGATCCGAATTCCGAATGATCGTGATATTCAACTGGTCCAGAGTAGCAACAATATTGCCTGAACCAGTTAGTTTATATAAAAATCGTAAACTAAAAACTTTAGGTTTGTATTTGAGTGATTTGATGACGTTATGACTATTCACAACGGAGTCGATTTCCCCCAACATGGGACGCATCTCAACCCGTGAATTCAGATTTTTGTTCTTCGATAAAGCACAATTCTGTGATTTCATAATAAATAAATCCAATGCTCCTTTCTCAGAAACACGCCCAATTTCATTTCCAAAGGGATCCAGTAGCTTCTGATCTAACATTCCGGAATTTTTCAAAACTGCTCTTACTTTTCCATTGTGAGGCTCCAGAATGTTCGCTTGGAAATAAAAATCAAGCGGTGTCAACCGAAGGTGATCTACATCCACACTGGTTGAAGAAGGATTAGTTAATTTGACATCTATGCCAATACCTCTCTGTCCTGACCCACTGTTATAGATTGCTTCCACATACTGCCAATCAGTGATTTGATTTTTAATTGTTCCTTTGGACCGATGCAGTAGTTTCCCTTCGTGATTAACTACTTTCAAGTGTACGATATCCGGGTTGAACGAAGTTTGGTTTGTACGAATCCAGCAGGAGAATAAGAAGGCTAACTCATTCATTGTTGGTTTGAAATGACCTTCTAGTGAAGAGCCTGGTTCCAACCGAAGAAAATGGTTGGAGTTTTGTTCCGTTATCATATTGTTTTCGAATATCCAGTTTTTATTCGATCCTATGCGATTGACTTCATATGGTTCAAATCCATAATATGAAACCACTTCATACGATATTCGGTAAGGCCTAAAATCCACAATCTCAAATCTTCCCATTTTGTCTGTCATAATTTTGTCGTTGTCAAAAATCTTTTGTGGTTCGTTTTCGGTTGCTTTAATGACCTTCACAATGACACCTTTTGAGTTGTGAACAGTTTTAGAACTGTTCTTCATTTCTATCAAGTTGAATGCATCTTCATACCAACCGTATTTTTGAGATTTACCGTCAGGAATGATCTTCGACTTTGAAAAAGCGAATCCATCGGAAAAAGGTACTACCCTATTTGAATCATATTCGAAAACGGTGGTATGAATATCTGTGTCACTGTGGAATAATTCCTGCTTTGCAATCACGCTCTGGTGGTAGTTGGTAAACGACTTCAATGATCTAACGGTTGCTGACTTATGGTCACCATTAATGGTTACAATCGCCAAAGGGTTACTCAATCTGCTGAGAAATTCTCCGTCTGGTAGTTGATGTACTTTTCTGTTGACGAAAGTGAAAATTTCAGCCGATTTATTCTTCTGTACACCAATGAACGCTGGATAGGACAGTAAAAGATCGTCGCCGTAAGGTGTGTTCAAATCCCAAACCAATTTTTCATTTCTGTCATGTAGTTTAAATGTTTCATTTTTGTCTGATTTCGATAGTAGAAAAGATGTGCCTATGTTCATCCTAAAATTGGCAAGGTTGATTTCCGTTTCCGGAATTTTTCCATAATTCCATCGGCTGCCATCAAATCTAAACTTGTGAGACGCTGCTACAACATTATCATTGTTGACATGAACACCAAATTTCGCCGGATCAATCGCGAATGGAATACTCGCTGTGACATTTTGATAAATCTCATTTAGCTCATTATCCAACTTGTCATAACTATCCTTGCGAAATTTATTTTTTTCCATTTCACTGGCGTGTGGGTGTTTTCGAATTTCTTCCTCAACCTGACCTTTCATTCGGTGTACTTCATCGATAATTTTTCCCGTGTGTCCTTTGACAGCGACCTTAAATTTTCCGTTGACTAATTTGTAGCCAATCTTGAAGAAGTTATCATCCATTGAAGGAAGTTCCAGCAAGTATTGATCGAGATCTTCCACAAGAATAGAAATAGTTTCATCATTGAACAACTCGTACGCATTGTTGAATATTTTGAAATGAAGTCGCAGGTAGATTTTATTACCTTCAAGGCTCAGCGTTCTTATTATAACTGCATTGTGGTGAATGTGCAAAATTCCTTCCTTGAAGGCATTCTTCAGATTGTCGATGGTCTTTTGATCCGTTTGAAATTGATCGAAGACGAGCAAACTGGACCTCACCAGATTCGCACCTATTGATACATTTCTAATGTTCCATGTCCCATCATCACTCTGAAATCCAATGGACAAGCTCAAGTCATTGTAAACCACATACGCATAGGAGAATGCTTGAATAATATCACCGTTGGCAATGTTTTTCACTACCGGTTTGATATCCCACCGTTTTCCGCTATATTGTAAAACTGCTAACTTTTTATCATTTCTCACCAGAACGAACGACTTTCCCATCTGTAGTGTGCTATCCTTGGATAGTTTCATATAAGAAGCATCTGACGACCAACCATTAGATTCCTGTCGAAACAAACAAACTTCTTTGTGATTTTCGTGATCCAACACGACAACGAAGAACTGTTCTGCAGTGAGAATCTGGAATCTGGAGACCGGTTCTTTTCCAAGAGCAGGGAACAACAACCCGGACATCTGTGTGGTCTCTGATCCAACAACATCGCGTGCCTTAATACGGACTTGTCCAACTTCGGTTTTTCCACCAACCAACAAATAGTTTGGACCATAGACGATCTGTACATCCGAAAAGAAATCAAATTTGTTTGCTGATCGTATAGTAGGAAATGTAACGAAGCTATACGAAAATTTTGAAATTAATCCATTTGGATAAACTATTTCAGTCATTTCACTTTTGGGACCTTTGTATCTAAATTGTAGCACTGGGATGCCTCGTTGAGATATTGAAGTTAAACGCGGTGATTTTTCAATGACAGAATATTGGAATTGAATGTTTTGAGTGTAGCTAGCTGTTCGTGTATGAATGTTTGTCAGAAGCTTATTGTTGTGCTCAAGGTCATAGCTGAAACGAACTGAATCGCCGTTGCTACTGGTGATTTTCAGCAGATCTAATTTTTGAACGTATGGTACACCAGTAGAGAGCTTTCCGTACTCCGGTGCATACACAAATTTCAAATAGTTTCCATGATTGTCTTCTCTTTTGGAAAGAAACCATGTGAATGGCTTTGCTTTGACAGGAGCTGTAGTGTTAGAAACTACTGGCCATTCTTCTGAACCCGGTTCCCATTGAAGCCAGTCAACATTCTGCATAGTACCGTAGGAGTACAGTTCATGTTTAGTTTTGACTTCCCACTTATTCTGTGATTTGTAAAATTTGATTTCCACATTAGGAGATCCATTCAATGTAAACGAAAGATCATTCGTTCGAGAGCCTTCAAACTTTGGGTACAACTGAGATTGCATCCCACTTTTGACCAGATAGTAATTATGATCTATTGAGTATATACTTCCTTGGCGGTCAATGTATATGCAGTCAACTGGTAGCGACCATCCAGGCCCAAGAACATCAGATGCACCATACTCTTTAAATTTGATGGCCTGTGACATTGTAATGCCAAACGAATTGGGAATTTCAACGAGCGGAACAGAGAAGTCAAGTGTTCCAAGTAACGGATTTCTTGGATATATGAAGCCTGTAAAATCGAGTTGATCGTGTAGAGGCAGAACGGATCGATATTTCAATGATTGTGACAGCAAAGGAATTGAAGTTTCAACTATCTCTTTTTCAGACTCGGATGGTGCGAAATCAGCTGGAACATCCGATAGCAGTTGCAGTTTGAAAGACATTAAACCTTTTTCACTTACTGATACAATCTGTTGCACACCTTGTAACACTTTCGGTACTACGAATGCCTTTACATGTCTATTAGATATTTCAAAATCTTTTTCACTCAAAACAATCTCTGCTAAAATTTCTTCCGATGATATCTTAATCACATTGAAACCCGAGGGACTACAAAATAACATTTCATCTAACCCATCACCATCGATGTCCTCGAAAACAATCGTTTCTACTTGCGATGGTGTCCACCCTAGTTTTCCAGCAAACTGTGCGGCATACATGATGGGTTCCAGCTTCTGAGTTGATGAGTCATATCGGTATCCTGTCAATCCTGTCTCGTTCATATGTAATACATTGTTGATCATTCGCTTTTCAGACGAAAACTTGCCGAAGAACACGTTGTCACCTTCCTTTGAAGAAAACGGCAGGGAAAATGTAAGAATTTTCTCCACCAAATGATTCTTCCCGAACTTGAAAACGCTCAGCTCATCCGAAGTTCTTGACACGAACGCTTGTTGAGGTGATGAATCAACATAGGCCAGTGAGATGTCCGTTTGCAATTTATTCCACATCGCCGGTACGTTAGGATCAGTGTCCATCTTCCATATTGGCAATTGAGACCGCTTCAATGCTTCTTCTTTGATAACCGCCTCGAAAGAAATCTTTCCTTCTCCATTTCGACTGCAGATACCGATCTTACTTGGATCGGCGTAAAAGTAGCCGATAAGCAAAACGTGGTCCGGCTGGCTCCACCCGTAAGCATCATGATACCGTCCATCTGTAACCAGATGATTCAATGCAAGGTTCTTATCGAACTTGTAGATATGAATTCCGGTTTCCATTCTTGTCACAACAAATCCATCTGCACTGACCAACCATGGGTTCTTTTCCAAGCCACCGGAAGCGGTGAAAAATGCCTCCTTTTTCCACAAATAGCTCCATAATTTTGCACTTCGATTGAACTTGTAACACAACAGTGTGTTGTCCGTTCTAATCAACAGCACTTGGTCGAGGGCGCCGTCGATTTGGATGAGTTTAGTCTTAATTTGCACTAATTCGGCATTCAATTCAGCCAGCAGCCGTTGGTCCTCGATGGGTTTAAAACGCTTCATTGCTCCACCGAGTTGTAACAGTTTCGACTGATTGCTCACTATGTTCTCGACGAACTGATGTTTGTACAATGCATTCGGACTGTATTATGGTAGCGAAAGCAGAAACGGATTCTTATCAGAGGGGATTCCCTGTTTACAGAAGTTAGCCTAGGAAATTTAAACTAGACGTGCATGAATATCAGTTTAAATCATTGCTTGCATTTTCAAGACGGCTGGAATATAATGTTTGGTTTAACTAATATCGTCGGGTTCATGGAAGACTGGTACAACTTAAAATCTGTGAATATTCATAATCAATGTTTGGAAATTTGGGTTCAAAAAACCTTCTGCAATTCTGTGTTAAGTTTAAATTTTATAATTTTTTTTTCGATAGAAAGAACTGAATCGAGTGTTTTTTATTACTTCTATCATTTTTTTTTTAATTCTTTATTTAAGAGATTTTTAGCCTTAGGCTAGTTCATCTCTAGTTACTTCTATCAAATATCACATAAAAACATAAACAGTCCTACGAGTTTTACAGCTTTTTATTTGAAGTGTGCCCCTTTGTCACGCAAAACTGGGACACGCTTAAAGGACAACAAAGTTGCATATTTATCTGGGCAACATAGGCACAACTCAAGCTATACCTACATGGTGATTCTAAATAACTGGTCATAACGATTGAGCTTGCTGAATTTTTGATATCAGTATATTCCAGACATACCGTGCGGGACCGAAATCCGTACACCCAAGCACGAGAGAATCATTAACGGTAAATACTAAATAATGCTATCACATTATGCTCTGTATCACATCTTTTCCTTTACATTTATCTTTATTTTACCATTATTTGCAAACTGCAGGTCTTAAAATTACCTTTAATTATTAGAAAAAAAAGTATTTAAATTGCACATATCTTGAATCGAAATCCGTACAGCGCTCTACGAATGAATCAAAATCCGAACAATTTTGCTTCTTCTTTTTTCACTGCTTCTTTTCCGTAGCTTTCTTCTGCTTCTTCTCCATTGTTGCCATTGCCTTTTCAAGTTATAATGCTTTCTTGCTTCCAACTTTCTTTCCTCTTCTTCCTCCTCTTCCTCTCTCGTTCAACCTTTTTCTTTTGTCGTTCCTCAATCCTTTGTTTCTTTCCGTTTTCTTTATCAATTTTCTCCCGCTCTACTTTCATGTATATTTCCGGCCATTCCTCGCTGGTGGCTACTGCTGGAAATGCTCTCTTGCCCATTTCTGTCTGCTTTCTGTAATTTGTATATGCATGTTGGTGATATCCTGTAGGGGAGCTGCGTTGTTTTCCTTTTCGGCTGGTTCTTGACGCTCTTCATTAAAATATATTAATAATATAACATTTACAATACGAATAAAATAAGAGAGTAGCGATTCAATATGCCATCTCTTATTGTGGCAAAATCCCTGGATGCTTCTCGGTAAGATTTCCCAGCACGCATCATTGCCACAGTCTTCTCCAAATCCTCCGGCGTGTATTTAGCTTCCATGATCTGCTTCCATGAACTTCAAAATCATTTTCAGAATTTTGTTCTGAATCCTTTGAAGTGCTTTTTTCCTGGTAGTGCAGCAACTAGACCATATTGGCACAGCGTAAAGCATGGCCGGTCTAAAAACTTGTTTAAATATTAGAAGTTTATTCGTCAGGCAAAGTTTGGATTTCCTGTTTATAAGAGGATACAAACATTTTATATATTTGTTACATTTGGCTTGAATGCCCTCAATGTGATCTTTAAAAGTTAATTTATGGTCAAGTATTAATCCAAGATATTTCACTTGGTTTGACCAGGAAATTGGAACTCCGTTCATAGTGACTATGTGACTACTACTAGGTTTCAAAAACGAAGCTCTAGGCTTATGTGGAAATATTATAAGTTGAGTTTTGGAAGCGTTGGGAGAAATCTTCCATTTTTGTAAATAAGAAGAGAAAATAACTAAACTTTTTTGCAGTCTGCTGCAAATAACACGAAGACTTCTTCCTTTAGCGGATATGCCTGTGTCATCAGCGAACAAAGATTTGTGGCAACCCTGAGGCAAATCAGGGAGGTCCGAAGTGAAAATGTTATACAATATAGGCCCAAGAATGCTACCCTGAGGAACTCCTGCCCTAACAGGTAGTCGATTAGATTTGGAATTTTGATAATTTACTTGAAGAGTTCTGTCAGTTAAATAATTTTGAACTAATTTCATAATATAAAGTGGAAAATTAAACTTTTTCAATTTAGCAATCAAACCTTCATGCCAAACACTGTCGAATGCTTTTTCTATGTCTAGAAGAGCAACTCCAGTTGAGTGGCCTTCAGATTTGTTTGAACGAATTAAATTGGTAACTCTTAAGAGTTGATGCGTAGTTGAATGCCCATGGCGAAATCCAAACTGCTCATCTGCAAAAATTGAGTTCGTATTGATGTGAAGCATCATTCTATTCAAAATTATCTTTTCAAAAAGTTTACTTATTGAAGAAAGCAAACTTATTGGACGGTAGCTAGAAGCTTCAGCTGGATTTTTATCCGGCTTTAAAATTGGAACAACTTTTGCATTTTTCCATTTATCAGGAAAGTAAGCCAAATGGAAACATCTGTTAAATAATTTTACCAAGAAAGACAAGGTACTCTCTGGGAGTTTTTTGATGAGGATATAGAAAATTCCATCATCACCTGGAGCTTTCATATTTTGAAATTTTTTAGTTATAGACCTTACTTCGTCCAAATCAGTCCCCCAGGAATCATCAAAAATATTTTCCCGAGAGAAAATATTCAGAAAATCCCGAGCAACCTGATTCTCAATAGGACTAGTAAGACCCAAACTGAAATTATGGGAACTCTCGAATTGCTTAGCAAGTTTCTGAGCTTTTTCCAAATTTGTGATCAAAATTTTACCACCTTCTTTAAGCGCTGGAATTGGCTTTTGAGGTTTTTTCAAAATTTTTGTGAGTTTCCAAAAGGGTTTGGAACTCGGGTCTAATTTAGAAATATTATTTTCAAAAGTTTTGTTCCTCAGGGCAGAGAATCGCTTTTTAATTTGTTTTTGCAAATCCCGCCAGATAACTTTCATGGCAGGATCGCGTGTTCTTTGATATTGTCTCCTACGGACATTTTTAAGACGGATCAAGAGCTGAAGATCATCGTCTATTATAATTGAATCGAATTTAACCTCGCATTTTGGTACTGAGGCAGCTCTTGCTGCAACTATAGAAGTAGTCAGAGATTCAAGAGCATAATTAATTTCATCTTTGGTTTGCAAAGGAATGTTTGGATCGAAGTTATATTCCATAAATGTTCGATACTGCTCCCAATCAGCTCTATGGTAATTGAAAGTAGAGCTGTTGGGATTACAAATTATTTCTTGGGATATTTCAAAAGTTACTGGAAGGTGATCAGAACCGAAGTCAGCATGGGTAACCAGTTGGCTACAAAGTTGACATGAATCAGTTAAGACCAAATCAATAGTGGAGGGATTTCTTGCAGAAGAAAAGCATGTTGGGCTGTTTGGATATTGAATAGTGTAATAACCTGCAGAACAATCATCAAACAGAATATTACCATTGGAATTGCTTTGAGCATTATTCCATGAGCGGTGTTTTGCATTAAAATCACCAATAATGAAGAATTTAGACCTATGACGGGTAAGTTTCTGAAGGTCACCCTTGAGAAAATTCTTTTGCTGGCCTACGCATTGGAATGGCAAATAGGCAGCTATAAACGTAAGTTGTCCAAATTTTGTTTCAACAGAAACCCCCAAAGTTTCAAAAACTTTGGTTTCAAATGAAGAAAGAATTTTATGTTTGATTCGTCTATGAATAATGATGGCAACGCCACCACAGGGTCCATCAAGACGATCATTTCTATAAATCAAGTAATTTGCGTCCTTCTTAACCTTATGGTCAGGTTTAAGGAACGTTTCAGTTATAACGGCAATATGCACGTTATGAACTCTTAAAAAATTAAATAGCTCGTCTTCATTATCTTTAAGAGATCGAGCATTCCAATTTACAATATTTAATGCTTTAAAATCCATTACTGAATTTTAAAGTCATGACAATATTATTTGCAAATTTTACTCCAGTTTGAATAGCATCAAACATGGAGTTAGATTTAAGCATATCAGAAATCATGTCAATTAATGAATTCTGTAAAAATTCCATTTTGGGGGCAGTAATGCTTCCTAAGTCAAAATTGTCAAAATTTCCGTTAGAACGTTGGTTAGTATTTTGATTTCTACCCGCTGCAATAGCAGCATAGGTAGCTCCATTAACTCGCTGAACATTGTTAGCAGCGAGGGGAGTAGGTACAGATGAAACATTTGAAGCAGGGGAGATATTTGTACCTACGGGTACGAATGTAGAATTTGTTCCTCGCTGACCGTTGTTAACAGCAGAGGAATTTGTACCTGGTCGGAAACGTGGAGTGTTTCCTACCTGACGGCTAGAACGAGATTGTAGAATCGCTTTGCGAGTCTTACATTCCCAAAAATTGGATTTGTGGTTTTCACCACAATTTGAACATTTAAATTTCTTAGGATCTTCCTTCACAGGACAGTCGTCCTTTGCGTGAGAGGAATCACCACAATTCATGCATTTAGCTGGCATGTAGCAATTTTTTGTTCCATGACCCCATCCCTGGCACTTACGGCACTGGGTGAGGTTTTGGAAATTTCCTCCAGTCTTCCTGAAGTGTTCCCACTTCACTCGGACATGGAGCATAAGGCTAGCTTTTTCTAAGGCCTTAAGGTTGTTTAGTTCACTAGACTTGAAGTGAACTAAATAAAAATCATTAGAAATCCCGTTGCGCGAATCGCCAGGACGGGATTTCATTTTCATTTTGATTACTTGGAGTGGCACAACTCCAAGTAATTTTGCCAGTTCATCTTTGATCTGATCCAGGGATTCACCACTGGGCAGTCCTTTCATGACAACCTTGAACACACGTTCAGTTTTGGTGTCGTAAGTAAAAAATTTGTGCTTCTTCTCAGTAAGATACTTGAGAAGACATTTAAATCCGTCCAAGGTTTCAGCCAATACACGGCATTCACCCCGACGTCCAA